AGGCTCTGGTGCAGAGTGGGGAAAAGCAGCTGCATCCTCATTGCTGACACCGACGGCTATGTGGGAAAGAGCTACGAGGGACGGATCTATATTACCCCCCAGGAGAGCTCTGGGGCATTCAAAGTGCTGATAAATGATTTAAGGCCAGAAGACGTGGGGCTGTACAAGTGTGGAACGGGCAGCCCAGTTGACTGGGACAGGTGGCAGATGGTAGCCCTGCAGGTGACCACAGGTAGGAAGGGGCTCTGGGGGCTGCTGTGTCCCATGGGCTCATTGCTGCCACATCAAACATCATGAACTTCTCCTACCTGCAGTCCCTGCCCAGCCCCGGAGGGTGAAGTTTCTGCATGGCAGGGTGGGGGGCTCACTGACCCTCAGGTGCCACCACGACCCTGCAGGCAGCTACACCAGCAAGTACCTGTGCAGGTGGCAGAAGGCCAGCTGCTCCCTGCTGGTGGACACCGATGGGTTTGTGCACGAGTCCTACAAAGGGCGCATATGGATCAGCAGCAGCATGCAGGACAGTGGGATGTACACCGTGATGATGAGCCATCTGCAAGAGGAGGACGCAGGGTGGTACTGGTGTGGGGCCAGGAACAGGCATAGGGAGCACACGACCTCCATGAAATTGCACATTGAGAAAGGTAGGCGATGGCTGGCTGGAAACACAAATGAATCCTTCTCCTTTTGTTAATCACTCTTCCCCTTATCCCTTCATGGACGCCCCCTTCAAATGCTCTCCTTTGTTCCGTGCATAAATGCAGTGGCATTATGTGAAACATTTGAGCTTTCTGCAGAAATCTAGTTTGTTTGAAAATATCATTGATAATTCACGATGCAAAACACCAGCACGTGATATCCTGAGTGCAACACGTGCAGCATGGAGATGTGCTTTGCTCTGAAGGTTACCTTGCAGTTTTAGGAACCTCAACATGCAAAAACACAGATGCAATTTACTTTTCAACTATCGGAGACAGAAATAGTGAGGCTGAGGTAGGAATGTTGGCCAAGTATTGATGGATTTTCATTAGTATTCCGAAATTGCTTTCTATAATTGAAATGGTCATATGATGTCTCATGTTTTTTTCCATCAGCAGACTCAAAATGAGATGTGCAAATCCTTGGAAATTCTGTAATGTTCACCCAAAAAAAAAAAAAAAAAAGAAAAGAATATTTAAGCACCCACACCATTTTCTTTGCAGAAACCTCCACTTCACAAAACCCAGCAAGGCACAATTCTATGAACCCCACTTTGCCGTTAAGGTCACCTTCCAACCGTGTAGTGGCACAGAGGAGCACCACATGGCCAACATACACCACGGGACCAACAGACACCACTGGGCCAACATACACCACGGGACCAACAGACACCATGGGACCAACAGACACCACTGGGCTGATGTATGCCATGGGTCCAACATACACCACGTGGCCAACATACACCACTGGGCTGAGACTCACCACGAAGTTGGCATACATCACAGGCACCAGAACTGAGGGCACCAGCCCCCATGCACCAGTTCTCCCCCCCAGCACCTTTGTGACCTCCCGCAGTGACACCTACAGCCAGAGGTAAGTTCATGGCCACATTTCCCATAGCTACAACCTTGGTGCTTTGCTCCAACCTGCCCAATTTCCCTGGGCTCTACACAGGCGGTGCACATGCTGCAGATTGTGGACTCTGATGGAAGAGAGTAATTAGAAAAGCAGCAGGCAAGCATTTCTCGTGTCCATCTGTGGTGTGGGTCTTTGAACTTCTCTTGAATTTTTGGTGCTGGTCACTCCTGTAGAGCAGAAGCCAGAGTCAATAGATGTGTTCCTGCCTGTTTTCCTTTGGTTAGAATGGAGACAGGACGTTAAGCAACAGCAGGCTTGAGCAATAATGCTGGTGAATCAGTAGCTGCCTCATACTTCACTGCACACCTTATCCCAGTCATTACAGGCAGCCTGTAGTGCACTGCAGTGTTTGGGTGCATTGCATAAGGACCTATCTTTGGACAAGGCTAAACATGAGGCCATGAGCTATTTTGGCCAGTAATTACTCCATGGCACTTCTCTACAAAATTGCTGCTCACCTGGTGATTTTAGCTCCTGTGCTTCCTGCTAAGCAGGACAGCTGCGAACTTTTGGACCCTTTCCTCCCACCTATGGCACCATCCAGCACCAGGTGATTTGCATAGCTGGCACAGGAGCATCAGATACTGCGGTATCAGTTGCAACTGAAGAAAAACCACAAAGTCCACAAATCCATCCCGACAACTTGAGCAGAAGACCTACTCACCTTAGAGCTTGCATAAAAAGCACCATGGCTCCAACCCCACTCTCACCACTTGCAGCCTCCTTTCAAGTCAAAAAGAGCACGTTGCTAACCTCAATTCACAACCCTGTATAAAGGGTTGGATTCTTCACTGTCTGCGTGTCAAACTCTATTAGCACTTATGGCATTTTTCAAGGAGACAGCACATAGATGCCCTGCAACAGCATGAGAGCCTACAGGAGCTCACAGAGAGAGCCTGAAACTTGCTTGGGAATTTGCATGATGAAAATAGCTCCTTCTCCTTTTGGAGGGGATAAGTCAATGTGCAGCACAAACCCTGCACGGTAGAGCAGAGGTATCTGTAGAAATTACTTCCTCATAAGCCAAACTCCAGATCAAATGACTCCAAGTCTGCTTGACTTTGTTGACTGTTCTCCTTTGAGTCAATCAGGCTATTTGCTATAAAATCTGCAGCCTGCATTCAGCCGCCCTGTAATTGACTCAAAATCCTATTTAGTTTTGATGGTTCCTCTTTCCAGCTCATCGGGTGAATTCTCTCTGCTCTCCGTTGTGATTCCAGCTCTGGTTTTGCTGATTTTCATCATTACCACTGTTCTTGTCCTTACCAAAATAAAGCTTTGTAAGGAGATGGGTAAGTTGGCCAGACATCACCTTTTGGGTTACAGTTGTTTCTTCTGGAAGGGCTTTGCTTGCATTCTTGGGGAGCAGCACCTTGAACAAACAGCTTTACATCTCTACAGTGCTTGGAAACCTTAGCATAAAGGGCAAGGACACAGCTGACCTGTGTCAATGGGTGCACAACAGACCAAGGTTCTGGAAAAACTCTCACAAACAACAGGTAACGAAAAAACACACATCTCATGCTGTGTCTCTAGGTAAAAGTTTAGAGCAATTACTCAGTGAGAAGAGTGGTGGGTGCTTGATCCAAATATCTTATTCACAAGAAGGAGACTGGGATACAAAAGGCTAATCCAGTGTCGTGCTCACAGATGTAAGTAGGCATTGGAAGAACTTTTCCTCCCCCACATACGTGTATTTTGTTCAGGAGAAGAAAGAAGCACCCTGGGACAGTCAGAAGCTGTGCTGGTGCAGACTGGGCTGAATCCCACAGAAGGGCAGGGGATGGAGGAACTCAGCAGCCCAGACAACACCAATGGATGCAAGGCAGACTCAGGCAGACATCGGTGGGTGTTTTCTTGCAACTGATGCTGCAAATGCCAGCTGCCTTAGTAGGAGAGTCCCAAAACAAATTTTAAGGTGGCCTTAACGTGTGAGAGACCTTTACGAGACAAATGTTGAGTTTGCATTCCCGAAACTGCTGCCTTTATCCCTTACCAAGAGCCATTGAGCCATAATCTTCAAAATAATTTGATTAAATCCTATACAAGGCCTATAAATTTATGTTAGTGTTGATTACAACTCTTGCTGACGCATTACGAACGCGTTATCGCTCTTCCTGCTTGCTTGTTTCAACAAAATCTGATTGCTTGCAACCTCTTGCAGTATCATACAGAAGCAATCCTTGATCAGTGTTGCAATCATATCATTTTTTTCTGCCCTACACATGCAGGATAATACGTGCTCTCCTCGGAAGGTTTGGACAGACCAGGTTGTGTGTAAGTGTCCATTGTTGGGTGACATGAAATCGATGGGGCTGTCATGGGGTACTGGTAACCTTCAGAGAAACACTGCTGTAGAAAACACCTATGGAGACATTTCCAAGTATACCCAACCTGTGGAGATTTGTATTGGTGAAATGTACTTCTCCATCACAAAAAATATCCAAATTACTGTCACAGTGGCTCAAGAAGATCGGTGATGGCATTTCCTGCTCCTGTCACAATGCACTTGGATCCGAGCTCTCTGATGCTATAAGCAGCTGCTAATATTTCAAAGGCAGACAGATGCAAAGGGAAATTGGTTGTGATAACTTGTGCCCTCTTGGAACACACCAATGGGTGGATGCTGACATCTTTCCTCCCATCTAAAACATTCAATGACTTTGATTAGAAGCAGAAAGCAAATCTACAGACATCTACAAAAGCACTGGGATAACGTAGTATAGATATCAAAGAGTTGAGCATAAAACCAAGCACTGATAAAATCACTTCTAAAATTGTTGTAAAGGCACTACCATGTAACTGCTTTTTTTTTTTTTTTTTCTTTTTTCACAGGAATCCTTCAGTGAAAAATATTCCTTCCAACATGAATGATGAAGACTTGAGGGAACCCGGGGAGAACCCCTTTCTCAGAGCACGATGTACATAAGCTCAGAAGCAAAACACAGCTATAACCTTGAAGCATGCAGCACTTCTTCCTCGCTCCCCATTCTGCAGCCAAATGCCTTGTTGTGTGGTTTGTAGAGAACAAAATGAAGAAACTAGCCATACTGTTCCTGTATGCGACCCTGACAGTCTCCTGTAGAGCAGAGCACCCCAACGGGGAGCTGGGTATGGAACGGAAGGATCCTCAAGCCTGCAAGTCTGACTCTTGGAAATCCTCATCCTTAGGGATTTGTTTTGCAAAGCACAAACCATGTCAGATTTCAGTCCAACACCAAAGATTTCAGCCCAGACTACGTGCCATACTTCAGCCTGGAGAAAAAAAAAAAAAAAGCAAACCAAGGGTTGTTTGTGTTCTGGAGATGCCAAAGTGCTTTGGCACCTGTGACTTGGCAAGACGACGCTTCCTTGTCTGTTAAAGCAAATATATTTGCGTAATTCCATCTTGTTCGGAGACAAAGGATCGGTTTTACCAGAAACTTCAAGGGCAAAGACAGAGGTTTGGATAAAGAAGCTGTTAGTCTGTCAGGAACTGCCTCTTGTCCAAGGTGCCCAAGTGGCTGCAGGCTCTCACCAGCTGCTTTCATGCAGGATTCCTCTGCTTACTGCTGTGCCACCATTTCCAGCTCCTTCCAAGCACATCTCTGTGCACATCAGCAGCCAGACAGGAGGTGGGGAGGCAACATGCAGGCATCCAAAAAGGAAAGGCTCTCCTGAGAACAGTAGGTGTACAAAAAGCAAACACACCTGTGTTTATCATGGCCAAGCGCAAACCCCAGATCCTGCTCCAGCTCCTCAGCTTTTCCTATGAACAGGCGAGAAAGTCTTCCCGTGGCCCAGAATAAAACAAAATTATTGCCTTATTAGAATAAAGGAAAGCAAGTTCATGACTCATCCCACACAAACAATCAGTTGTCTCTGATTTTACACTTTCATACAGTTCCATTTCCAACAACCCCACTCTTCAGGAGGAACTCTTGTTTGGGACCCTCAGTGTTCCACAGCAGGGGAGCAGAGCAGCAAGGCTGAACACAGCAGCAAAGCACCCACACACAGTTCATTTTAAAGAACATACGGAGCTCTTGCCCTACACAGATAAGGCTAAGCCTTACTCTCCCCAGGAGGAGGTAGAGACAGAGGGCAGGAATGGGGCAGACCTCCATAGTAAGGCCAACTTGCCCTACCTGGGAAGCCAACGTGCCTGGGTCTGCTTTGGGATACTGGTTTCCAAAAGATGGAAAACCAGTGACAAAGATGTTTTTGCCCAGATTTGCCCTATCATACACTTCCTCTGTTGGTTGAGGATGTCACAACTTGGGAATCTAGGTGAGCCCTGTGCAGGGGAGTTCTCCTTTGGGTGCAGTGCCAAAGAAAGAGGGATGAGGACAGGACCTCAGCATGCTCCACACAAAGCAGACCCATGAGTTGGCATCAAGCTGAATCCCTTCCCAGAGCCAGCAGAGGTGCCAGGGCAGCACCCTGAGCCAGAGCCCACCCTTGGTTGCACAACAGCAGGGTGCAATCGGGAGGCTGCACCCACAGCCAAGTGCCAGCAGAGCCAGGAGGAGCATTGGCTGCCCTGCTCCCACGTGGCTCAGGGCTCACTTAGGCTTGGATGCTGTTCCCTTAAGGCACAACAGGTGGAAATGCAGGGCTAGAAGTATGAGTATTTAAAACTGGCTGGCACTGCCCGAGCCTGGTGTCCTGGAAGGAGACAGGACAGACAGACACACACACACAAGGAGGTCCTGGGGTCAACCACGAAGCCAGGAGTGGTGAAGCAAAGAGAAAGCAAGAAATACAAAATGGTCTGCAGAAGTAACCTGATGTGTAAGTAATGCTTCTTCATTGTCCTCTCACTCATTCACCTCGAATTAGCAGCTTTGTACAGCCATGCATGGACGTGCAGGTCTCGCTGGTGAAGAGATGCTGTCTTACTTTAAAAGAACATCAGAAGCGCAGAATCAAGCTCATAATATTATCTTCCTTCTCTGTGATAGACTTTGAATTTTCCATTTCTGGAAATAAGTTTAATTATCGTTACAATATTTGCACTGATAGGAAATAATTGTTAGTAAATACTATTGTGGTCATTACAGCCTTTTGAATGGCAGCACGGAGGCAGTCATAAGGATATGGATTTGGGAATGTACCTCAGCAAAGGGTGGGTTTCTGCACACTTACATGCTTACCATGCAAAGTCCTTTTGGACTTTTAATGCATTTGTATAGAGAAATAATGCTTGCCAATAGCAGCCACACTGTGGCCACAGACAGGTGCACAAGTGCTCTCCATTCATCCAGCTCTCACAGCACAGCACCACTGCAGTGCTTTTGGATTATAAACTCCAGGAATATTCACAGTTTTAAACTAGAAGAGCAGTTTGTAGTCTCGGTTTCACTTTCCAGCCTAAGAGACTAGAAACAGAGACAAGAAATAAGTGAACCATTCAAATCCCATCTGAAAAGCAACAAGTTAGTATGGGGGCACATCTAACAGCTTACAGGAACATCCAATCAGGTCATCATCAGCACCACCTCAGTGCAAAATTCAGTCATTACCATGGGGATCATCTGGGCATTCTTTTTCATTTGTTATCCAAAAAATAGTGCTCATCTCACAGTTTTACCTGGAGCAAAAGGGATTCTTAGCTAGGGATGCAATAAGTGCTGCAGGAATTCCTGAAGGCTGTTGATTTTGTTGATAATCTCCAGCAGGATCTGCCTAGCTGCCTCTGCTCATTGTATCACAAAATCAGCACGCCCTGTTTAACCTCTCCATATTGTAAAGCAGGCATCAATCTGGAATACGAAGGATTTATTTTCGGTATGTGTTCGGGTCAGGCTGATCTTTTAACAAGTCCATTGCTCACTCGCCTCCACGAAGTGCAATGAAATGCTCTATCCAAGGGGACGGGTGGCTTTTCCCCATTAGCAACACTCATAAGGCAGCCATCAACGCAGTCATTGTGATGGGTCCCGTGAAGATGTAGAGAGCTTTGGTGCTGGGTAGCAGGACAGCTGTGTCTGTGCTTTGCTTCAGGCACCAAGAATCGCCCCCAGCATCCACGTCCACGTTCCTCCTCAATGCAACCCCAACTGTTCTGCTCAGCATCACACCCACAGCAGCTTCCATCCACGCAGCTCACCCCCAGTATAAGCGGGTCTGTTTTTAAAAGGATTTGAGGGAGAAAAAAATATTACTCCATTCTGTATGTCATTTCTTAATTATGGGAATAACAGCAAATGCTATGCAAAGCAGAATTGTCTAGGAACCAGCTCTTTGTGTTCCATTGATCCCAATGCACGTCCTTGACACTGGTCATTGTTAAGAGCAATAAGTTAATGGCTAATAGATTACAAGCTATTGATCCCTTGCATGCTGCACCATGTGAGTACACCGGTTACTCAGGTGAGAAACTTGCAGCTGAGTCAGCAGAATTTGGGAACTGAACTCTGCTTTTTCATACCTACTCAGAGCAGCTCCTTGCTTGCGCTTGCGTAAATTGTTTCAAGTCCTGATCTCCTTTGTAACAGCATAAACCGAGGGCATTCCTCTCCAATGTCCAGGTCAACCCATCTTGGGAGAGGAGGGCTCATGCAGCAGCACACAGAGCCCACTTGGCAGTTCTGCTGCTGCACAGTTCTGTGCTGCTCAACTTCGAAATACATGATATGGGGGCAGGGAAGAGGAAGGAGCCAGCAGTTTTGATGTTGCAAGATTAAAGTTGATTCTATTTCAGAAAAAACAAGATTTGAGTTTATTTAAAAACAAAAACAAAGGAAGAAATGAGAATACACCCAGCCCACAGCTGGTGCTGATCCAGACAACCTGTTCTGCAGAATCGGGGATTGGTGACAGGAGGGGATACAGCCTCGTGACCACAGGAGAAACTTTCCAACAGCGGCTGCTCCTCTGCTGATCCCATGCTGCAAATGGGCAAGAACTAGGACATCCCTTCTCCTTTTTCCTCCCTGTAGCCATCAAAATGTTTTAAACTAAGCACCAGAATTTGGCCTGAAATGTCCAAAATGCCAACTGTCATCTTTTCCCATCCGCAGTTTCTTTGCCCTGTGCTGCAGAGCAGCTTCAGAGACACTTCCCACTGGGAATAACTGAGCTCCTTCTTCTCTTCTCCTGGCCATCTCATAGAATCACCTCCCATACAACCTCAAACTCAGGTTTTAATGCATCAGGTTTTTAAGTCACTACATGCAAAGCGTTGGGCTCAGCAGCCCAAACAACAAGTGCTGTTTCTGGACAAACCAAGGCAACCAACCCAGCCATGTGCAGGTTCCCACCTGCATGATGCCCAACGTGATGCACTCATGAAGGGCTGGTGTCAGCACAGTTCCCAGCACCCACCAGTCAATAGGGACACCATGGTCTCACACTCAGTCTTCCCTGCTCCAAGGACACCAGGGACCCAGCGCAGACACACAGAGCAGTGCAGCAGGAGCAGAGTCCAGCTGCCACTTGAGCCCAGTGGAACAGCTCAGAGATGAGAGCAGCCGTGTCACACAGCCCCATGCAAAGGATGGAGGCATCTATGAAGCCTATGGCAACCCCTCCTGCATGAGGTGACCCAATTTGGCTTCTGTTGGAAGCTACAGGGAGCACACAAGCCTCGTGCTTCATGCCAGACTTCACAAGGATGCGAGGGCTCTCTCAGAACCACCCATGGGAGCAGTATTAATGCAGATTGCATGCACAGCCACTTACTTGCATTCCCACACAGCTCAGCAGAACTTTCTCTTAGCTGTGATCTGAGATTTAATCCTGTCCTCTGACTGAAGACAGCAAATCCAGTCTTCTGAAAGCACAAAGGAACCCAAGCTGTGTTATCAGCAGGCTGAGAGTGATTGTCCCCCAGCACCTCAAACTGATTGCCTCATGCAGAGCACCCAGCAGCTCTCATCCACGCACTGGGTAGCATCTCTGGGCACTCAGAGCACCACAGGGGGTTTCCATGCAGTCTGCTCAAGGGATCAGCCCAGACTTTATGTAACATGTGGCTGTGCATGGGATCTGCCTCCATGCATTCAGTGAAGTGATGCAAGGTGTTAGCATCAGAGCAGGAGCAGAGGCAGTGCAGAGCTATAGATGTGTGCAGTGCTACATGCAAACTGTTATCCTCAGGTAGGCACAACCACATCCATGTGGCCTCAAAGATGCATAACCTTTCTGCTCTTATATGTGCAGACGACTCTGGTACATCTTTCTGGGCACAGCTGTAGCTTCATTTCTAAACAGACTTCCATAACCCCTCACTGCCTGGCAGACGATTGCTTTGGGAAGGAATCAGACCAACACAAACCGTGCCAAGAAGGGAGAAAAGCTGACCCAGGACCTGTCCTTGTCTCGCCCTGCATTGAGTGTGGGAGGGCAGCACGGGAGCAGCAGCCACAGGAGCCCTGTGGGTCTGTGTTGTGCCGCACTGTTTGCTTTCCACATCGCATGGTTTGTTTGCCCTGCTGGCTGCCTGTGGGATATGTATGAAGAAGCATTTTTCATGCTCAGTGGGTTAATTATTAGCCATAGGCAAGTGGACACCGAGCAATTAAAAGTCCCAATACAAGGAAGAAAGCATAACAGAGCACCTTTCATCTTCACACGGAAGCAAAGGCATTTTTCTTCTACTGGGAATTACCCCTAATAAAACAAACCCTATCACCTGATGTCCAGAAATCAAATTCCTGTGACTGTTTATAAAGACTTTCTTTGGCATCCATCATCTTCACTATAGCTCGTAATAATTAATGGGTAGATCAACAGTCTGGAAATGCATCTGCTCACTATGGAGAGTCCTACAGCACACTCACATCAATGTGAATTAAAAGCTTTGGCTTCTCCTGGGCCATCACTGATGTCAAAACAGGGATAAGCCATAAATATTCACCCTATGGGCAAATTTCAGGGGATGAGCAGCTTGGTTTGGTGCTCCCCAAAGCCATCATTTTGAGTCCTGCCAGGGCTACACAGCTCTGCTTCTCCACAGGGTTTAAATCTCCTCACTTCACCAACTTTGTCAGCAGCCAAGGTGAGAAAAGGCCCAACTCTATCACATTCTTGAAGAGAACAGGGAAGAAAAGATCAGAAATTAAATACGGGCTTCAGACAGGAACTGCTCTACACAAGCAGGTTTTCCCAAGGAGCGGTTTTGGCACCCGGGCTCAGAAGGGAACAAACCCTTCTTTCACTGCATGGACAACAAACCATCACAAGTGGCATTATCCCCTGGCAAGGGTCATGAGAGCAGCCCAGCTCTGGGCACCCTGAATTCCAGTCCTGCTGGGGCTCAGCAGCTTTTGGGCCATCTGTGAACTTCAGTCTTCCAATGAGCTGTTCCAATGTAACGAGTAATACCAAATGTCACTTCTGACTCTGGATCAACCCCAATTTGGCCAAAATCTCTCCCTGTGCTGTGCACATTGCCACTGCTGCCTGCCCAAGAGACAGCCACAGTCAGCCTGCAAGCCTGGCATTAACTGGCTTATGGTAAAAACACTTCCTGCATTTGACGTGGTTGAGGTGTTAAGATGCACAGGTAGTCACAGTGCCTTGTAGCAAAACAGGCAAGGACAGATATCAGCTCCCCATTTCCTATTAAATTGCTTGACAAGTGATTAAATGTTGTATTTCTCTCTAACAGCCACAATGCTCTTATCATCCAGACAGAGACATTATCAGGTGACTTGACCATTAATCATTTTTGCAAGTGCTATTATTCACCAATTTCCGTGCCTTTTCCAGGGAATGCAAGAAGAATGACTTTACTGGCATTCATCTTCCTGCTCTCCTTCCTCCCTGCTGAATCTGCAAAAAGTAGATATCCTCCCAAAACAAGTAAGTGTAACCCACCCAGAGCACAGAGGTTTGCAAGCAACATTAAACCAGATGATGCACTTCTAAGGGAGAGAGGAGGGTTTGGGGTCCCCATTCACACCCAGCACTGCCATGGGACCTTTCAGAGCACACCAGGACGTGCAGGTCTTTGCACAGCCATGGTTGCACGACGCATGGCATGCACACCCAATGGGTTTTCTTCTTGCAGGCTTAAACCCAGTGTTTGGACCTCAGCAGGTGTACGGCTTGATCGATGGCTCCGTTAGCATCAAGTGCTTCTACCCTCCCACCACGGTGAACAGACACGATAGGAAATACTGGTGCAAGGAGTCCTCCAGGAGCTGCCTGACTGTGATATCCACCAGTGGATACACAGCACGGGGCTACCAGGGCAGAGTCACCATTGCTGATTTCCCAGAGCAGGGCATCATGCTGGTCAACGTCTCACAGCTGGCCCTGGCAGACCAGGGTACCTACCAGTGTGGCATCGGGCTCAATGGCAAAGGGCTCTCCAACAGGGTCAAACTGGATGTTTCTGAAGGTAATCACAGCCTTTTCTTTCACTTTTTCTTCCCCTTTCTGATAGAGATCCGTGGGATGTCTGCCCAGGAAGAGCATCCAAGAGCTCAGGGTATTCCATGCTTCCAGGGTCTTTTTCCCCACTAATGTTCTTACAGAACAGATTTTCCTCTAACCAAAAATCTGGCGTAGAAATCAGATACAAAACTCAATGCAACAAACCTTGCTGGGAAAGCATTGACTTCTCAGCCACTGAGATACAGGGAGAGGTGCTCACAGCAGGACTGCCCATCACCCGGCTTCCAATAGGGAAAGCACTGACTGCTCTCTGATTGCACAGGTCCAGACGTACCTGAAGAAGCTGAGCTCTTCTACGTGGAGCTGCAGGGCTCTGTGAGCATGGCCTGTGACTTCGGAGGGGATTATTCCAGCACAAGGAAGTTCTTGTGCAAGATGGAGAAGAGCGGCTGCCGCAACATCGTCGACACGTATGGGCAAATAGATTCGGATTTCCAAGGGAGAGTCCTGCTGAGCAATGATAACACAGAAGGTGCATTCAGCATCATGATAACCCAGGTGGAATGGGAAGATGCTGGCCTGTACTTGTGTGGGGTTGGCTCCTATGGAGAGTATGGAGAAACGAAGGAGCTGAATGTGCACGTCTATGAGGGTGAGTGAGCTGTTCCCAGTGCTTTGTTTCCCTTTTTCTCTGATTTTCTTTAGAAGCAACACTAACAATCTCACTTACTCAAGGAGAACTTTAAGACCACCCTTCATCTAGCTGAGGGGCCAAAACTAAGAAAGGCCAATGCACAAGGACAACCACCATCAGAGGATTTGGGAAAGGGAAAGGCCTGGAAGACCCTTTGGGGTCAATTCTGGCAGTGCCAGAATGGTCCCCCTCAGATCTGCACCCCGAGAACCACCTGGCTGTACTTGAGCTCTGCCACATGGCACAAGGTAAGCAGGTCAGGCTGCTCATTTCGTTTTCATCTCCAGGGACAAAAGCTCCACAAGAAAAGGACACAATATTTGGAGTAAAAGGAAGTTCAGCAACTATTGATTGCAACTACAACCCGACCAAGAATTACACGCTGAAGTATTTGTGCAAATGGAGAACGACAGGCTGTGCTCGGATCATAGATAACACTGGCTTCTTGTCGATCTCATACGAAGGACGAGTGGCCATGTTTGACAACCCAAAGAATGGCACATTCAGCATCGTCCTGAACCAGCTGCGCAGCAGCGATGAGGGCTTCTATTGGTGCATGACAAATGATCACAGGGAGAGGAAAACATCAAGGGAGCTGAAGATCGTAGAAGGTATGAACCCATAAGCAGTTCCCTTTCGATACAAACCAGACAACCTACCAAGCTTCATAGAATCATTAAGGTTGGAAAAAGACCTTAAAGGTCATCACGTCCAACTGCCACGATAGAACAGATCTCACTTTTTTTGGGAAGAGATGTGAGTAATGATTCTGAAATTTTGTCACTAGGCAAAGCATTGTGACAGTTCCCCCACGCTCCTCTAGATGTAAGGTTTTGGCCTTAGGGGGAAGTGTTTGCACAAAGGTCTCATCCCAAGTATTACAAAAAACAGCTTTCACCTGACATCTATGTGGGATCCCCACCATTAATTTAGTAATGCAAAGGAACACTTTCTCTCAAGGTCACACCTCTTGGTTGACCACCCCCAACAGCCCCACACCTGTTGGGTACCAATCTCACTGCTAAACCACTAACTGCAGCTTCACATTCTGTTTGCCCTCACAGGAGAGCGTGGATTAACAGGAAAGGAGGAAGTGCAGGCAGAAGTGGGTTCACGGGTGGACTTAACGTGCTCCTACTCATGCAAGTACTACTCCTACGAGAAGTATTGGTGCAAGTGGAGCAGTGATGGCTGCACCCCACTGACTGCTTCTGACCAAAGCCAACCAGGGCTGGATGTCAGCTGTGACACTGCCAACAAAACACTCATCCTGAGCCTCGACCCTGTGACAGTGGAGGACCAGGGGTGGTATTGGTGTGGGGTGAGACGCAATGGCCACTATGGGGAGACCATGGCAGTGTCCTTGCAGGTGGATGGAGGTGAGCCCCAGGGAATGAAGCTCGGGGGGTGGAGCACCTGCTGGGAAGAGTCCTCTCCTTGTCCACTAGGTTGCAGCACCTCAAAACAGAAATACTCCCAAAGGTGGGCTCTCCCAGACAGGCTGCCTCAGTTCCCATTCACAAAATCCTTCCAGTCCCACAATCACTTCTTCCCTCACCATTTGCTACCCCATCTTCACTAATAGTTGCTCTCACAAGTCGTAGCATCACTTGAAATGATGCAGCCTCCAACATCAGTCACACAAAGGGCTGTGTGCATCTCCCATTCATCATTACAGACGGGAAAGCATTGGGAGGGAGAAAGGAAGAGCTGTCCCCAGTTCTCTATGAGCAAACAAGGGGCTCAGCATCAGCTTCGGGCAGTATTTCAGCGTGCTCAAACCTCACCACCCTTCTTACCTCCACCATGCAGGGAAAGCTGCCAACATCAGCCCGGAGCTCCTGGATCTGGAAGCCAGCAATACTGCTGCTCCTGCTGGGGCTGTTCCTCAGGGCAGAGCCAACAGCGATGCTGGGGTGCAAAGGGCAGCTGCCTCAGAAAGGTCAGTCCTTCCCCAGCCTCTCTCACGTATTAGTTTTGCAAAGTTAACTTCTTGCTGACAGGCTGTTTGCACACTCTGCACGTAGTTTAGCAATGCAGAAAATGTTTTTCTCCAAAGAAATAAGCTCAAAGCAACAGAAGGAGCAAAAAGTCACAGCTAAAGACTTGGGATTACTCTCTAGATAAGGTAAACACAGTCTCAGAAGGAAACAATTGGAAATTCCAGGTACAGAAAAGTTAATTTTAAGCATTTCTGTCAAGATTAGAGAGCCTACCTTCACACATCTATTACTCAACTGCTACTGCAGCTTCTTGGGCAGTACCTCCAACCAACACCTTCACTTATACCCCTGTGACATGCTCAGATCAGTTCATTAATTGGATAACATCACACTCACTGAGATCTACCATCTTATATAGACCTTCAGATGGATGGAAATCTATGTACTTTGTACAGTCCAGAATGATTCTGTAAGAAAATGCTTTTCACAGCTCAGTGCTCCACTTTCCTCTCTTCCAGCTCTGAGCAAAGCTCTGGCTCCAACACTCTTGCTTTAATCCTGGGCCCCATTGGTGCAGTTCTCCTGGTCCTTGCTGCAGCTTTTGCTGTCTTTAAATATCGTCAGATCAGGCGATCAGGTGAGTCCCTGCCCTGTGTAAGCCCTCAAGCGTCACTAGTATTAAGATGAAGGCAGCATGCTCGCAGTGCGCTGGCTGGAGTTGCTCCCAGTACCACTATGAATGCTTCTCCTGCACAGATCTGGTGTCAGTGGGCAGCTACAGGACCAACATCAGCATGTCAGACTTTGAGAACCCAAAGGAGTACGGAGCAAACGACAACGTGTGCATGAAGCAGAGCCAGGAGACCCAGCTGGGAGGCGATGGTACAGCACTGCTCAGAACCCCAAGCTTTGGAGAAGGCAGCAAGGGCTTATAGGAGCCCAACAGCTGCTGAGACATCACACTCTAATATCTGCCTTTCTGTCTGTGCAGAATTTGTCACCACCACAGCCAACATCGAAAGCACCGCTGAGACAAAGAAGGCAAAACGGGTAAGGGGAGGTGGGAAAGAGCACACTGACCTGCAGCCCCAATGCAGCCCTGCAGCCCCAGTGCAGCCCTGCAGCATCATCAAAACAGCTGCTCCGGCCCCTGGGCCCTATTTGTAGCCAGGTGCCTCCATCATGGCTGAGTCTGCCCACCAGTAGCAGAGCAGTCACTGGGGGGACCATGACCCCTACCAGCCCACATACCCCAAGCCCTGCCCTGCCCTGGGTGAGCCTGTGCTGCCAGTGTGGTACCAACACACAGCACGAGCTCAGAGCACCTCTTTTTAACCCCCAGCCACTGTAGTTGCAAGTGCCAAGAGTTAAACCAGATCTCTACAGAGACCCTCCTCAAAGCCAGGAGCCCCAAATTCCTACCTAAATAGCTTCTGCAGCTATTTCCTGCCTTGCGAACCCACAAGCTCAAGCAATTTTTGTGCACCAACCCAAAGGACGAACAATGCTTTCCACACACGCCCCCTCCCCACCACTAACCATCACCCCTCACCATGTCCTCCATCCTCCCTCCCGCAGGGCTCCAAGGAGGATGCTGACCTCGCCTACTCTGCCTCTCTCCTCACTCCCAGCACTGTCACCCAGAGCTCCGTGGGGGACAGCACAGCCCCGGCTGAGATCCCCCCTCTGTGGGGTGGTTCGGTGTGAGGGCGAGGGATGGGGACATGCATTGGGGGCTGGCTCTGCTATGGAGCTCACTGCTAGAGCTCAGCCTGCTGCACTGCTTGCTGCTGCCCCCATTTGCTATTGCTTGATTTTCCGTCTTTAAATTCAGCTTGGAGCAGAGATTCAACCAGAATCATAAAGGCTGAGCCCCAGCATCACCAGCGCAGCCAGGGCCCTCTTTAACGCTCCCAAAGACTACAAGATATGTATTTTTAAATCTTTTTTTTTTTTTTTTTTTTAAATCTCTCTCTTTTTTTTTCCCCCCTGGAAATCCCTTTAAGGCAATGCCTTTTGCTTTTGATTCCCCTCTGCTCTCCTGGTCATAGGGCAGCAGCTGCAGACCAGGAGTGCCTGGGGTTGTTCATGTCCAATAAAGATACAAGCAGCTTTCAGCAGACCAGAAGGGCTCTCAGTCTGTGGCAGAGCATGGGGAAAGCATAGAATGGTGTTAATTAATATGACAACCCATTTAACTGATTAAGCAATAGGCACCAGCGGTCAGTCTCCCTGGATGGTTTTGTGCTTGTCCAGGCAGAAGCAATGATGACTGTAATTAAAACAGTGTTGTCTCCTGGTCTTATCCTCGAGAGTGGGTTATTCAACAGAGAAAAGCAATTTATTTGTGCATGGCCACGCGAGCGCTGCTGCCTGTAGGTCAGATCCTGGTGAAGAGAGCCAAACACCCCACAGATAAAGCCTTGCAGGAGCAGTGAGGGTGGAGATGTGACAAAGAAGCAGCAATTTGCCCTGAACGCATGAAATTCTGCACATCTCCAGGCAGCAGCCAGGGTGGTGAGAGGCAGAGAGGATGGAGGGGATGGATAAAAATAGCACTGACCTGCTCAGGTTCCCTGGTTCTGCCCCGGTTATGTGCATCTCTGACAGCAAGTGGTAAAATATAAGGAATAAGGAGCATTACTGCATCCTCCCCTCCACGACACGGGGCAGCAGTGGGAGCAGAAGGGGTAGGATGGGTCTGTGCCTGCCCACGGTTGCTGGAAGTGAATGAACAATTCTGGTGCAATAGGAAACACATCCCCAGGGGCTGAGCAGCAATACAGCTGCAGGAGAATGCTGCGATTTGGAAATCTCCAGCGGGAGAAAACCCCTTTCTCTGTCCCTTTGTGAAGCAGTTTCCTCCTCCACCTGCCCCAAGGCAGCCTTTCCTCTGCAGGAGTTAAGTATACGGATAGGAGAATGGAAGTCACGCTGCAAAATGCTGTACATGAGAAAGTAAATGAAGTGAAGGAGGGCCCTGGAAGCGTTTCGTTTCTGGCATAAGCAAATATTTGAGCAAGGATGGTGAGTGATCACTGTGTGTGCAGCCACTTGAGGCTAAAAGAGCCCAAAAGAGATAGGGATGGCTATCCATCATGTACAGTGGAAGTGATCCCATGGACAAACAGGGCTGGTTTCACATCACTCCAGTTTACATTTTGGAGTTTCCAGCTTGGGGGGTGTGCAGTGCAGGACCCTCCTCCTCCCCCTGCATCCCCACTGCTGCAGAATGAAACCTTGCACTTCAGCCCCACCACCCCAGCACATCCACTCCCATCTAAAAGCAAACAAAATCAGACACCTCCTGCTTCCTGACTGCTCTCACAAATAACCCAACATCACTTGTGGGGGGGGGGGGTTCGTTCCTAAAAAGAGAAGTTACTAGGCATTAGAGCCACAGCCATAGGTGAAGTGGTGCATCTGATCACATCGCCACAGGGGCTGTGCCTGCTCTGAGAGGGCACCACGGTGAGCTCAGAGTTTCACCAACTCGAAATGTAATTCCTCTGAATTCTGATAGAATTCAGCGCAAAGTCAGCACAGTTTCAGGCTGGCTTTGTTTACAGTAAGTGCATCAGCCTTCCACAAACCTCCTGCTGAGTGTCAGTAAATGCACACCAGAAGTTTCTTCTATTCAGCAACCACATATATTCTATAGAACACATCGTTTCACTGATACTGCAGAAAACATCATCTGGAAAGGAAACACAGATTTCCTTGGCTTGCAGTACCTGCAAGGACCTATTCCTGCAAGTGTTTGCCACCCATCACCTCCTTTCAGCCAGATCTGAGCCCAGAGTGGCAAATGCAGCTCTGTATCATCAGCTCTATGTGAGCAGCTCTGCCAGGCACTCGGTGCTCATGAACATACAGTCCTGATGCAAAGAGTTGATAATTTAAACAATACTTTTATTAAGTTATCATAGCTTATTGCCTGCTAAAGAGAACTCTTTAAAATTCTCCCTTTGGAAAGTGTCGTTTGATAGAAGTCGGAGATGTGAATGCTCTGTTGATTCGAGCCGACTCCACATTGCCATCCAAATGCAAGACCCTGTGGATGCGTGTGCCTCTTCCTGTGCCTGACAGCACACTCAGTGCTTGATCAAACAGTCAGCAAGAAATGGCTCTGGGACGGTGCATTCCCAAGGTGTGCAGCCTCCCAGCAGCTCTGTTAGCACACGGTTCCTCTCTATGGGGATTTCTCCATCCAGTCCAGTAGGATGTCCAGCTCTCCTAAGGATTTCATTGCTGCAGATGTGACATTCAGCTGAAAGGGATGTAAAAGGAGCAGGTTGCAAAGGCTGTGATACCACCAAGTGTAAGGAGGCTGAATAGCTGCATTAATTACTAGGCTTAATCATCAGCTTACCCCTTCGTAGTTCACAAGTATCTGCTTAAATCTCTCAGTGGGTTCCTGTCCACACAAACACTTGTTTTCATCATGCTAGAAAAACAAAATTGAATTCATTAAGCTGGAGGGTTTCGTTTTCATAGAATCAATCACGGAATCAATCGTAGAATCAGTCACAGAATCACCAAAGTTGCAATAGATCTCCAAGACGATCCAGTTCAACCATCCACCCACCACCAATACTTCCCCTCTAAACCATGTCCCTTAGTACAACGCCTACATCTGAGGTCCTGAAATCAGGCTCCATTGAGAGCAGATCACCCAGACAGACCCAGTGCTGGTTTTGGTCACTGCCATGGCAGTGAATGAGCACATACATCAGTTTCTCAATGAACACACGAGCCCTTCACATCGTGCTTCTTCCTATTCTTGTTAAGAGCTTTCCTCTAAATAAAGATTTTGTAACTTATGAAATGCTTGGGTTTATTTGCATACCAAATGCCAAAGCTGAAACTAAACTTTAGCAACACAAGACTCACACAGTGCTCGAGTTTCCTTTTGATGCTGAGGAAGGAGTTGGCTATGCTGCTGATCTTTCGGTTGATGTAGGAATTCTCGGTCTGGCAGTGCTTGAAGACTTTGTCCACGTAGAAGTTGAAGACTTTGTGGACCATGCAGCATTTATCTGAAGGCTTAAGGGACAAATTCCTCTTTTCCCATGTGCTTCAAACCCATGGGCACAGCCCTTCTTCCCACCACTAGAAGAAAACATCTCTGCCACCCACCACTGGAGCTGACAGTGCTGTATAAACCTTCTCCAGCTCTGCTTGAGGTACACGGATAACAGATATAGAGTGATTTTCCAGGCCCATCCTCAGCGTGCCTCACTGAGTGAGCAAATCAATGATCTGGCTTTGTAGCTGGGCGTTAGAGACATGAAGCAGTGGCACAAGTGCAGTGCCTTGGAGCAGGAGAGCTGCAAAAACCTTATTTATATTTCTCAGCCCACCACCCTACAGAGAAAGAAGGGTGAGGAACATCAACAGGGACTCTTCCCTGCCCTTCCCATCCCTCCAGAGCAGTGCAGCCTATGCTGTCCTCCACCACCCAGTACTCCTGTCTCTCTCCTGTTCTGTGTCTCCCAGCTTTTGGACACCCATCTGGGTGCTGTGCACGTTTCTGGAGAAGCATCAAGCTCACTCCATGCAGAAACCACTGCAGGACCCTCAGCTCCTTTCACACCTTCACATCACTCCTCCTCCCTGCCCTGCCCTTTCTTCCCATGCACTTCACAGGAACTCAGATGCCATCTCACCACCCAGCAGCTCCCAGCCCTGAGCACGGTTAGCAGGGAGGAATGAGGCATAGCAGGGCACTGAGGGCACCCACCTGGACCTTGTGCAGGGAGTGTGGGTGGGACAGGATGCTCAGCGTCCTGATGGGATCCCGGGCTTGCTGTGTGGAAGAGAGAGATGCAATGAGGAACTTGTTGGCACTGCAGGGCTGTGGGAACACAGGCTGCTCCCCAGGAGCCCACAGTAAGACTTACAATGTTGGTTTTGATGGCAGAGAAGCCAGCTCTGATTTCATTCATGCTCATTGAAATCCTACAGGGGCCAAAGTGGAGAACTGTGTTCCCAGCTGCTGGCAGCAGGGTGAGGCAGCAGGCCATGGAGCAGAGGCAGAGCAGCACACGGGAGCCCAGCATGCCTGGAGCACCTGTTGAGAATGGTGTATCCTTACAATCTTCCTTCTACATAAAAATAAAAAGCACAAAAAAAAAAAAAAAAAACCAAAATAGTTCTTACTAAGATTTCCAACAAATCGTTTAGCATTCATTGCACACCTCATGTATGAAAGTGACTAAGTGAGATTGCAGGGGGAACATACATCTGACAGGGACGTGCCAACAGCTAAATTATTTCTGGAACACACACATTCTATACAGTACTGGTGGTATATATGCATGTAAGTATGTTTAAAAGCAACACTGATTGATATCTCTTATCTGTTTCTTCTTTTCCAGTTACAAAAGAGAAAAACTAAAAGGAATATTTACTAAAAGATTCCAAAAGAAAGAAAGTGGGGGGGGGAAGAAAAAAGAAAAAAGAACAAAAAAAACCCCACCAAAAAACAGCAAAAATTGCAGGTGAATAGACAAATCTCTACACAAAAATTTTCAACAAACAGAAAGCATGGGTAAATTAAGCACTTGACAGCCTGCTGGAACAGCAGGGCTGAAAGCATGACCAAAAGCAGCAGACCCCAAAGGCTGTTCCCAAGGGAGAACACTTTCCCTATGGAACAGCATGGATACTTCAAACGTAGCTTGTGTTCACAATGACATTCATAAATAAAGCCCTTACAAAACCTCGTTACAGGAGATACAGATGGTGGAAGGATAAAGCCAGCACTTTACCTGCTCTGTTGGCACGGGTCAATCCGTCCTGCCGACGTCTGTCCCAAAGAGCTCCAAAGGACGTGTTTTTATCCAGGTACTGGCAGGAAACAGCTCGTGGATTAACTTTTGGGATTTTTCTTGCTTTTCCCAGCGCCTATTTCCCTTTGCAATTTACTGAATAATATATGCAAGCGATAGGGACTAACTCCTTCACCCACAGGTGTTTCCCTACCATCTGGGGGCGGGAGATGCTGGCACAGAGCGTTGGGAGGATGGGACTGAGGGGAAGCACCACGCTGGGGTGGCAGCTCCAGCCATTGGGGTGTCCCTGGGTGGGAGGCATCTGGCCCTGCAGCAGGGGTTGGGAAGATGCTGAGCCCCTTCTCCAGTACTGTCCTGGCATAGGGGGACCTTTATCCTTCATTTTATGGGGACCTTGCTCTGAGGCTTGCTCCTGGGATGGGTGGGTGCTCATAGCTTCAAACATGTCCCCAGTGTTTGGGGACCAGAGATGCTTGGATACAAGAAGCTTTGAGACAACATCCTGGTGCCACAAGATGGTTTCCAAGAGCACGGGTAATGGAGGTGATCATTACACACAGCCCAGGCTGGTTGGTAATTCATTCCTTCTGGACATAGCCACGCTCAGCCCGTGAACTAATAAGTAGCTAAATAAACTCCTCAGGCTGCCTGTACCCAATGGGGATGCACTGGTGGACCTGGAGGCACCTCCATCCTATGGTGCAGAGCAGCAGGCTGGGGACATCGCTGTTGCAATGCAGGGATGGGGTGTGAACATCTGTGGGCTTTTGGGTTTTGCTGGGTGAGTAATTTATTGATAAAGAAACTTAATCTTGAGAGTATATCCATCATCACATCAGGGCAGGCAAATAGGCTTTATGCCCAGGCCAATCACTGTATTGCATACAGCTAAAATGGCCACAAATGCATTCACCATTCTCCCCTGGTCCCTATAAAGGAAACCAGCTCCAAACCCACCTCAGGCTGCATGTCATCTTGTCAAAGCTTTGGAGCGATCCTCAGCAGCACATGCCCATTAATCTGCACCTTCCTTTCCAAATCCCCAGCCGCTGCTCATAAAATTGCAGCAAAAGTTTTGCTCAGAGCAGAGGAAGAGGCACGCAAGAACCCAAACGTGCCTGCAGCTTTCCCAGGCACTCACTGCACACCCAGCCCTGCAGGGAAACAAGGGAAGAGCCGTGAGTTCTTACTTCATTATGTAAATTGCAGATGAGAAAAAGGGACTTCTCTTTTTTTTCCTTTTGGTAACCAAACTTTTTCCTTTTTGGTAACTGGTGCCCAGGAGGCAGGCGAGCCAAGCACCAGTGGGTGAGAAACTCAATGCAAAATCCACCCTATGGGGAAACCGATGGGTGATGGGGTGGGTGATGCTCTGTTTTCTCCTCTCAGCACACATAGCAGAGGATCTGGACCGTGTGCCAACTGCAGCAGCAGGAGAATATCCCCAATAAACCAGCAAGCTGTGGCTCGTGTTCTCTGGGAAGGAAGAGGAAAAAAGAAATAGGGATTTTTGAAGCACGGTGCGATGATGCAGCTGAGATCAGATGGTAGAGTGGGAACTTGGTGCCTGGGGCACCTCCAGCGTCATTCAGGCTCTGATGTGTGGCAGCACTCTGGGGATGTGGCCCTGTTCTGTCCTTCCAGGCAGCCCAGAAAGCAGCTAGGACCCAAATAACTTGTCACAGCAGTACATGGTAGGGTTTGCCATCTCCATTGTCGCCATGGTCAGGGGTTACAAGGTAAGAAGACAAGCCCTCTGCATCACTAATTTGCCTCCAAATCTGAAATCAAAAGAGGAAAGCAGCCTTTGAGCAGCACTTCGAGCAGCCCCTGCTGACCCAACACCACAGTCATTTGGAGATCCAGAAGCTTTTATTTCAACCTAAAAAGCAACCACACACACACAAAAAAAAATTAAAAACCACCACCAAGATTCTCTGACCTGAATAGAAGCTGCTCTGTCAATGACTGACCACATACATGTGTTAAGTCTAGATTTCCAGTAAAGGATTTTAGAGTGATAATGTATGTTTCAATAGCACATCTCAATGTAGTTTCATGCTATAAGAGCTGATAATGCTTTGCAGACCATCCTTGGTTTGCCATTTGGTTGCATTACTCATTTCACAGCAGTTTTAGGTACTCCATCATATCAGATCTGAAGCCGATAATGATTTGTACACAGATCCCCAGAATGAGATGACATGAATGACAGAAATGCCAGCACTCATTTTAATAAAAGAAAAATCCAGATGAAATAGCAGAGAGCTGCAACCGTATCTGAGCTCAGGGAGCAATTTGTGCCATGCATCAGGAGAACATCCACAAAAACCAACTCAGCCAGGCAGGGCAAATGTTCAGGAAAAGCACATGATAGGGTTTGTCATCTCTATTGGTGATCCTGCAGCTAACCAAGGCCCCGCCGTACGTCAAGGGTCATTGTCAAGCTACTGCCTGACCCTCAAATCCAGAGCCTATCTCAAACCCCATTGGAACTAATGGGGCTCCAAACCCCGCGGTCGCCCTGAGGACAATCCCCACCTCAGCACCGTGCTTTGTAAGCTGCTGCTCGCGTGGAAATGTTCTGCTGTGCTCTATCCAAGCCCTGAAAATCTGACTGCTCTGCTTTCTCTTAATTAGTGCAATCCATTTTCGACAGAAACCAGGGAGCTGCTATCAGAGCAGCACCGCCCGCTCAGCCACAGCTGCTGACAAAAGTAGAAAATTGTTTTTCTCGGTAAACTCGTCAAATGACTCAGAGTTCTGCGCGGAGTAATTGGCTGATAGGTGTGGTATATAGTGTGCCCTCTTCTCAGTCACGTTTCTAACCAAAACCACTTTAATAATTCTGAAATTATGCTGCTCTCTGCCTCCCAGGCTCAGCTTCACCCAGAGCACCAGGGACAAGCGACGCCCAAAGCCCAGGGACACAGACCCACACTGATGCCCAGATTGCCATCAGCAGGGTGGCAGTGCCAGGGGTCACATCAGGGTGAATGTGAAAGGTGCCCAAAAACTTAATTCTTCCTCTACTCAAAGCTGCCGCCCTGAAGTTTGTCATTGGAATGTCCTGTAGGTGTTCCACCTTGCATGTTTCTTCCCTCAAGTTTATCTTCACCTGGAAGAGCCCATGTTGGCCAGGACAACAACACACAGCCCAGGGATGTCATTGCTTTTCACATGTGCCAACAGAGCAGCGCGTGCCCCACCACCACCTCCTCCACAGGGCTTTGAGAGAGCATCCCCAAGGTGTGACACCACCCTGCTGCAGAGCATCCTCTGGGGGACACCGTCACTCTGCAGCTCTTTCAGCCACGTCTTTGGGGTCCTGCTGTCCTTTTTGGCCGTCCCCAAATCCTGGCTGCACGTCACAGAAAGTGCCGCTGCCTCAGCCACCGCCTTCACAGTGCCGGTGTGATGTCACACAAATGACTCACTCCTGGCTGTGCTGCCACCAAGCCAGGATTTTACATATGAGAAGTTAAAAATAAATGAAAAAAAAAAAAAAAAAAAGAGATTTTTAATTTTTTTCCTCTAAGATTCATCTTTGCGGAGGGGTTTTGTGCATCGGCACAGCTGTTCTGAAGAAAACCATTAATTTAGTCACCAGAGTAGGAGGGTAGGGGGTGGTGAGGGTTAAATACTTGCTAACCCAGCTTTGATAAAGCATGAACTCATGTTCTGGTTGTCATCAGTTCCATCTTCCTCAAAGGGAAACTCACAAGGCATGTCTTAATATCATCATCCTGGCAGGTGCACCAAGTGTGCATGAGGCAGGAACTCACTCCTACCAACTCCAGGAGTTGGATGGGGAACAGAATTGCTCTCAGAGAACTCCTGCCCCAATCCCACAGCAGGGTTTTCATAAGGCTTTGCAGTCCCTGCCTGAGCACACGGTGAGCTCATGATCGTTTCATCAAGATTTCACAGTGAGCTTTGATGGTTGGCTTCTTCCCTTTTCCCCATCGTGTTAAGAAAATCAGCATTTCAGCAAAAATTGGGGTTAAAGAGCCTGAGAAAAACTGCCTTGCTGCTGAACATGAATGAAAGCTCCCACTGATGCACGATGCAAAGATCAGCACCCATGCTGAGCTACGCAGCCTTTCTCAAACACACACATCTCTGATATCAGAGACTCAAATCAGCCAACGAAATTAAACCCAGCCTTAATCAATGAGGCTTCTCAGTTTCCAGGAGGTTTCGGGAGCTTTTTGATGTGGGTGTCTGACATATTAGCGACTGGGCTTCTCTAACAAATGGTGACAATGATGCAAGGCAAGAGGAGGCAGCAACACAGAGCTGCAATGGCAGTGGGGCTCAGCTCCTCACAGGGAAACGAAACTGTACTATAGAGTGTTCTCTGGGGGGAAAGCTGGACAAGAAAAGCAATTGAAGCACATTGACCTCTATTTTCAAAACCCACAAGAGGCCCCGTACGCATCTTCCCTGTAGAATTTGAATGTAATAGGCTTGGTTCTAATTTCAAACCTTTTTCCTCTCTGGCAGTCAGAGCCGCAATCAGGATTTGCATTTTCTTGTAACCCATCTATTGCAGTGTTTCGTGTGTTCCTGCAGTCTGGAGGGGGTCCCATCGTGTTCATGTTGGAGAAGTGAGGCAGTGCCCGGGTCTGTGGGTGCTCTGCAATGGATGGGGATGGTGAACAAAGGGGGATGAAATAAAACACAGCCACAACTGGAGAAAAGTTCTTCATTTTGACAATACAAATGAACAGCCCCCGAACATAGCATCACTTCTCACACTGTGTCTGGACCACATGGAGGTCATGTCCTCCATAAGCAAGAGCAGGCCACATAGAATCATAGACTCCTTAGAGTTGGAAGGAACCTTTAAAGATCACGCAGTCCAACTCCCCTGCAATGAACAGGACATCTGCAGCTAGGTCAGGTTGCTCAGAGCCCAGACCAGCCTGGAAATGCTGTGATATGCACTGGGTGCAGCCAATGTGGGAACTGGTACCCAGAGGGGCTGCTTTTACCAAGTCACCCCTGCTCCCTGCAAGCTTTGGGCAGACAAATCTCTGAATGGTGCAGCTTTAGAACGGAGCAGAGATGTCCAGGAGAGGAGGGAGCAGTTGCCAGCTGCAGTCTTTCAGATATCTTCACTCAGCCCCAAATTTGAGCATTGCGTCTCATAGAACCACGTTTGTCTGGGAGCACGAAACGTGCTGACAGTGCAGGCACTAAATGATGCCTAATAAAGGAGAAACTGACAGCTATCAGCTCAATTTTTCAATTTTCTGGGGAACAAATGAATCATCCCGATGGTCAGACACAACTCCCATCCACTTACCTTTCACCAAAACCGAAACACGTTTCAGTGCATGAGCTGTGCATCACCCGGCGCTCACATGCAGGTTTCAGTTTGGGGTTAATATTGCCCTGAGCACAGCTCAGGGTGTAGATTTCACAGCCCCGAGGTTTCGTGCCCACAGGGAGGAGCATAGAAGAAGGGAGAGAGCAAAGGGTTTCCCATCTGGCATATTATTTCTTAATGGAAGTGTGAAAAAAATGTGGCAAATCGACATGAGAAGCGTTTCCAGGAAGGATTCCACCACGCAAAGGGCTCGCTCACATTGCACACCCCCAGCAGGACACAGGGATCGTCCAACCCCCCAGCATGTGCATCTCCATACGAACCCTTGGAAAATGAGATGCCATCCATTGAGGCACATTTCTGCCACACACAAAGTGACCAACAAAAGCTCTTCCTCGACTTCATAGTTTTGAAAACGTGGTCAGACAGGAGGAAAAGGAAACTAATGGCCATGCTTCTCTGTCCCAAGCAGACAGCAGCCAGTGGGGGAAGTTCACTTCTGATTCCTTTTCTTCTTCTTTCCCCCCCCTTCTTCTTTTAAGCTTTTATTTCAGCACGGGGGGGTTTCCACCATTCAGATTCATCTCTAACTTCCCACTTACAGACATACAAAAGGACACAGAAAGCAGCGCTGCCGCAGCTCTCCTCTTGCTGATCTTTGCATGTTTGTACTCTAAGCACCCAGCAGGAGGTATTTTACATTTAATGAGAACGTTTAAATTCGCATGGGCATTATTTTTTTTCAGAAATTTCTGCCTACATTTGACCCAGGGGGTCAAATGCTGATATTTGCTTCTTCGTGGAAGTGGCATAGAAGCAAAGCGCAGCCCACGGTCACCATTTATCTCCCAGTTTGGGGGAACTAAAAAGTGGCAGCTAAATTCATGCTGTCAGCTTAAAATAAGAAAATGCAAGAGAACAAAAAACTTGAGCAATTCTATTTTCCTGCATTGTTTTCTGAAGGAGCAGAAGTGCCAGCAGCAAATTTGGGGTGACTTGACTGGGAATCTGCATCATGAAACTCGTTCCTTGTTCCTTGGCTTTGCCTTGGAAATATCAGCTGTAATTCAGACTGACTCGGCCACCACATTTCTGTCCCAGGCAATGATACCATGCCACCAAAACCCATGCCCAGTTCACAGCAGTGCTAGATGGGCAGTCCCCCCCACTCTGTCCCACTGCCATTTGGGGCAAGTGACAATGGCACGGGGGGAATCCCAGGGGCTGTGGGGTGACGGGCACAACGCATGCCCACAGTACATCACAACCAGCACATGCTGCTCTGAACACTATGGGCTGGCAGAGAAAATCCAGGATTTCTCAACTGCTCTGCAGCATGCAATGAGCAAAAAAAAACCCCAACTTCATGCCCAGCAGTTGGGAGCGCAGGGCTGGGAATGTGGTACTGCCAAGATGCTGTCAGCTGCAGCTCACCATGACATGCTGGTCTTGCACCTGCTGGCAGAGATGATTTCCTTCACAGTGTCTGAGATGAGGAGAAAAACTATACTAGTAATACACTGACCTTTTAGACATTGCTGAGCAGTGCTGCACAGAGTCAAGGGGGTTTCAGTCTTTCAGCTTCTTGTACTCTCCTGCAGGAAATGAGCTGGAGTGTACAAGGTGACAAGGAGCCAGGGAATGTAGGGGGGAATGATGATCTAACTCTCCAAAGATATGTGCCATGTCATATGACATCTTGCTGAAAGCTATAAAGCAGAGGAGAGCTGGCTGGGTGCAGCTGCTGCTCCGGTATTGGTTGGGCATCGATCAGCAGGTGGTGATGCGTTCTGAGTTCTGCATCATTTCTTTGGGTATATATATTGTTATCATCACTACTGTTGCTTCTTTCTTCCTTTTCTACCTTAGGAAATAGTTAACTTCTACTTTATCTCTACTTTTACTTCTTTCTTTTTTTTCCAATTCTCTCCCCCATCCCACTTGGTGAAGGGCTGTTTGGTGCTGAGTTGCTGTTGGTTAAACAACACAGCATTAAACAATGCTCAGCACCATTTCTAATGACTCTAGAAACTCCAGTTAGAAATTCTATTCACACTCTACTTAGAAAAGTACATTCAGTTCTATGACCTTTGGCAGCTCACTCCTTCATCTAATCGGAAAAGATACTGCAAGTTCAAAATCTCCATTGCTCAATGTCTTTAGGTTAGGATTCCAATTTTGTTTAGTTCAGATGGAAGTTCAGGACCTACTAAGAAATTCTTATGTAAGACTGTGTCACAGTAGAAGTTGCATTAGAGGTCACAACAAAGTGTCTATTCATGATTAGTAATCTATTCTGGGACTCTTAAAGGTTACATAACAATACAATTAATGACATGGGTTAAATTTCCGTAGAGTAATTTGGGATTTACCTGTTGAGGTTGGGATGAGTCAAGCTGCAAATTCCAACAAGTGCTAGAAAGCCGCTTTCCAGAAGTGAAAAGTCCAATTTTGTGCCTTGACAGCAAAAGATCATGAAGGAAAAGCAGTGTATTTCATGCGTCAGGAACTGTTAGTCATCAGAGAGGGTGCTGAGAGCCAATGGGTGTTTCGTAGTGGGTGAATGAAGGACAGCAAAGTCTCCACTTCCCTGGTGTCACTAACAGCAAATAGAAATGGATGAGAAGTGGGGAATTTGGTGTAAGAAACATTCTGTTAAGCAGCCTGGAAATCTAGGCAATTCCTGCAGCTGTATCCATAATAGTGCATAAAATACACCATGTTCCCTTGTCCAAAGGCAATGACTGAGACCCAGAGGGAAAAAAAAATGGGAGAAGTTGCCCCTATGGAAACTGCCAGCATCAAAGAGTGCAAAAGGCTTTTGAGTAACATTTCCTTCCTGAAATGATCTTCTTGGCAATCATGAAAGCTGTTTCCTAAAGGTTTAGATATACACCCACGTCCTCGGACACTCTTTAGGAAAGGTGCTTTATTCATTCATGCAACAGCTTCGTAGTACTGCAGAGTCAATGCGTTTCCACAGCAGTAAGCAGTGGTGAGTCAGAGCGAAACTGCACCGTCAAAATCTCTGCCATGGCGAAGGAAACACAGGTAAACACAGCGAGCATCGTGCGTGTGCAGGGCAGTTTCCTTTGTGGAATGGACGCAACTGGCTTACACTGCGTGCAGCTGAAAAACAAAGCAAGTTCCAAAACAGGGAGGAGGGAACTGCATAAGGGAGCTGCTCAGTATGGTCTGGGTGTCGAACTGAGATGACTTCACGGAGAGCAATGATTGCTGAGAAGAAGGGAAGTTTGGAAACATGAGCTCAGCTGTTGGGCAGGAAGGAAAGTGTGGGACGACCCCAGGCCGGGACCCCTCAGTCAGCACCATGGCCAGAGCCCGAGCCTTGCGGTGCCAAGGCCGAGCCACGAGCAGAGCGCTGAGCAACTCCTGCAGAGCATGGCACGGCTTGCAAGGAGGGTTCCCCAAATCACACCAACCTAGGGGTGCTGAAGTCACTGCTTTGGCCCCAGCTGCACATACACAGAGAACGGGGTGAGATCCAGGTGCTGCTACGCCCCTACGCCCAGCAGAAGGGTTTTGGTGTTCCCATGGAGTTCAGGGGACATTGGGTCCTGCTCACGCAGCTCTACCAATCTGAGGCAGCTTGGAGTTAATACAAAATAAGATCTCGCACCATGGGGTGAAAGCACAGAGCTGTGGGACAGCATCAGTGAAATGGGTTATGTTTAATACCACACATTTTGGTCTGAGTCAGCTGCTGCTCTTCTCCTTCCTCATGGCCTCCCAGCTTCATTGCTGGTGGTCAAGGGAAGAAACTGCACCGAGGCACGCAAACAGGGGAAGGAAAGCGGGGCATGGTCCCCATGACACACTCTGATTCAGAAGTTCTGTGCCCATGCAGTGATTCATTGGGAAAAATCTCCCTTCCGGCCCTTGGGAAAGGTACAACACCAACAGAAGGAAAATAAACCAGGCAAAACCCCTCACTGCTGCTGTGTTTAGAGAAGCTGCCTCACCTGATTACAAATACATAATTCATCTGCTCTTACTCATGTATGTTCTAATACAAAATTTTCCTCTCCTTTATTTTCTAAATGAAATCTAAATATATGGTATAACGAATACTTTGCATTTTTCCAGCATTAATTGTAACAACTTCCTTCACAGAGGTCTGCAAATTCACACCAAGGGAGGCTCAGGGTGGTGAAAGAAATGAGAATCGTAGTGATTTGTCCCAAGCAATAAGCTGAAGGCAGCATGAAGGGAATGCCACTTCCAAATAGCAGAAAAGCCTTCAAAGAAGCCCCCAGAAAAGCCAAGTTAATCTTCGCTTTCTCTTTCTTGGATAACAGCCTTATCTCCAAAAGGAAACAAGTATAAAATTATGTAGAAAGAGAGCGTGAAAGAAAGGAAAACGGAAGAAAGAGAGACGTCAGTGGAGTTATCTTCAGCACTGCAATGGTCACTTTTATCAGTGGGGAGGAGAGCACACCCGGTTCATGGAGCTGGTGCTGGGGGCTCGGCTGGGGCTGTTGTCCATTTCTTGGAAACAAAATTGCATCCAAGAACAAGAAAGAAAAGGTTTCGTGTTCAGCTTGGACATGTGAGCAGCGCACATCAATGTGCAAATAGTGGGTCCCACGATAAAATGCAATAAAAGTCAGCATGTGCTGCTAGGAAACACTTTAAGAAAGTGATAGTTGCAGGAAAGCATGCAGAACTGACACCAGGAGCCCAAGTCCCCATCGTGTCTCCATGTGCTGTGACCATGGTAATGCCTGGGTAAAACATCAGCTGAGGGCTGGAGCATTCACACTGACTTTGTTTTAACTCCATTAAAAAGAAGAAAAAAAAAGAAAGATTTAGAGTGTTGCATACTTGCAACACACAGTGCTAAAGGAGGTGACAGTGTTTGAGCAGGTTGGGTAAGAGCAGTGCTGGAGTGAGGAGCACCTGGACAGGTTCAATGAATGCAGTGCTGCTGGGTGATGCTCAGTACTGGGGATCAGAGGTGACAACCTGTAGAGAGACTTAAATATAGAAACACTTTTTCCCCCGAGAGCAGAGCATTCTTCTAAAAATAAAAAAGTGGCTGTGAAATGCAGATGTAAGCTCACACAGCACCTTTCCTTCTTCGCTTTGTATCTGACGCCTCATTTAAATTTACAAGAAGCAAGCAATAGAAAAAAAATGCAGAGTCTAAGCACAAAAGATTTGATGGGTAGTGAGGAGGGGAGGGGGGTCAAGAGAACAGGAAACCCAAAGTTGACGGGAAACCCAAGTGACATTTGGGTTTATTGAGTGAGTGACTTATACCCTTAATATCACTCGTCAGGAAGCGGGGAAAGGAAACTGAGATGCTTTGAGAGTATAAATGAGGGGCTCCATCAAGGTGAAGTCTGCAGAGCTGTGCTTTGCCCTCCAGTGGCATCCAACCAAAGGCAGCAGCAGAATAAAGGATAAAAACCCCAGGATGCAGACCTGCTGCCAGGCCCTGCTGCTGCTGCTGCTTGCTGCTTGCACCCTGCCTGCCCACTGCTTGGAGCCCACCTGCCTGCACTTCTCCGAGCTGCTGCCCGTCTGGCTGCGGGAGCTGAGGGTGAAGTTTGAGGAAATTAAGGACTATTTTGTAAGTATGACAACACCTCCTTCTGCTTCGTGGGGTTATTTTGCAGAGTTGAGTGGTTTGGATGAGGGGACAGCAGGTTGCTCTGGGCAGAAGAGATTTGGCCGTGTGCTGCGCTATGGGCTGCCCTTTGGTTTCACTGCTTGCTGAGAGATAACACGAAAGGCTTTTCTTCCTGGTTTTAGTTATAATGAACTCGAGAGATTTCATAATGTGAGCCTTATTGTGCAGACTTCCCCCTAAAAGTTGCAGAGCAAATCATGCACTGACTTAGCAGCAAGGGATTAAATTCTTCAGGGCAATGAGCTCCAGCCTCACTGAAGCCAGCACTGTCTGAAAAGGGAAATCTTTTGCTACAGACTTTCTCTGACAGAGCGAAGCCTGAGTGATTGCCTTGTGACAAATCTCAGTGCTTTGCATACAGAGCAGCACGGAGTGCACTGAGCACCCGCTGGTGCTGCAGGGCTGCAGGGATGGGTGCTCAGCCCAGGGTTCCTCCTTCAGCTATTGCCAGCATGCTTTAGCAATAAAGGAACATAACCCTCCGGATTAAAAGCCAGATGAGCAGCATGGCTTGTATTAGTTATTAAATTAACACGATCAGTGGGATTTAAGACTTCAAGCCTGGGCTGCACGTCTTTCAATTAATATCAGGAATGAAACTTTCTTACCTCTCAGAAAAGCTGTTGAGCACTTTAGTGCCATGGGGTGATGCTCTGCGCAGCATCAGCTCAGCCTGGGCTCAGGATTGGAGGCACAGATAGCCCCTGGAAGTGGGGACTCAAGGGATGCCAGCAGCGGGGTTAAAGCATAAACGCAAGCAAGCAGAGCATCCCTTGAGGGAGGCAAAGAGGAAAACACAGCTGCCTGCATAAAGCACTTCTCCTATTGCATTCTCCTACAGCAATCCAGAGATGATGAACTTAGCGTCCAACTGCTCAGCTCTGAACTGCTGGATGAATTTAAGGTAAGGATTACTATTCCAGTGCAAGTCCACTGCCCTTTTGCATCCTTCCACCAAAGGAAAATGACCCTAATTCAGTGGGATGTTTCCCATTGTCACATGCGGCCCATGGACCCTTCTTCCAGCAAGGTGCCTGCAGCAGGGCTGATGCACACTCATTCCCAGCCTCTGAGCACCACTGCTGGGGTTCAGATTGCAAAAGCATTGCCATCAGCATACTCTCTCCTCCCACCAGGGGAACTTTGGCTGCCAGTCAGTGTCAGAGATGCTGCACTTCTACATAGATGATGTCCTGCCCCGCGCCATGAAGACCAGCACCAGCCATCAGCAGAGCATGACTGACCTGGGCGACATGCTGCTGAGCCTGAAGATGACGATGAGACGTTGTGTGAGTGGGCTCTGTACTGCAGGGATGGTCCCTGTGTCTTCCTGGGGCAGGGAGATAGGGCCAGGAGCCAGGGGGGCAGAGCAATTAGAACGAGCAAAACCCCATTGGGGTGGCATTTCTCCTTGCCCTTCTCTATACCTGATAATCAGAGTGATAGGGAGGATGCTCAGAGAGCTGTTTGATGCAGTCTAACAGAGTGGGGACTTAGGGGGGGGGATGCATCCCTTACCTGTGTGCATTGGCATCCCCACTGCTGGAACTGCTGCGACCACGCAGCCTGCATGGGCTGAGTCACCCCAGGAGCAGCAGGAAGGAACAGCACTGAGTTAACCCACTGCCTCTCACCTCTGCAGCACCACTTCTTCACCTGCGAGAAGAGGGGCAAAGCCATCAAGCAGATCAAGGAGACGTTCGAGAAGGTGGGTGCCTGCAGGGCGGTTTTGCCGCTGGATCCACGCGCTCAGAGGGTGTTAAAGTTGTGCCGACGCAGCGCAGCTCAGCTCAGAGCAGCTGCTGAGTTCCTTCAGTGGGTGGGGAGAGAGCAGAGGTTTCGGTGGAAGGAGAGCACAGCTGGGGATCCTGCACCGCGCGTGCAGCCGATGAATCACGGGCTGACTTTCACCTGCAGATGGATGAGAGCGGGATCTACAAAGCCATGGGGGAGTTCGACATCTTCATCAACTACATCGAGGAGTACCTGCTGATGAGGAGGAGGAAGTGAGCACACACAGCCCAGCCCCGTGGTGTTACGAAGCGCACCGTGCTGTGCTGGGGTTCAGCCCAAGGCTTACAGCCCAGTGGCAGCTTAACGTTCATTTTTCTATTTAAAAGTCGTTGGGTTTTGCTGTTTGGTTTTTTGTTTTTCAGGTTTTATTTTTCCCTTCCAAATGAATTTAATATTTATTTCTTTTTTTTTTTTTTTTTTCCCTAATACCTCAGTGTCTATGTTTACAATATTGTATTATTAGTTTGTGAACTATTTATTGTTTGGTGTTTTGTACCACTGACGATAGCGCTGTTGTATTTCTTGCTTTAGAGCTCCCATCCCTCTGGGGAATGAGCCAAGTTCACCCTGAATGCAATTGCTCTGTGCACAGCCATTGGGCAGCAGCTAACCCAGCTCTGGGATCAGCAAAGCCCCCTCTGCTCCCTCTTCTTTGCAGCTATGATTTATTTAAGCAATCAGCTATTTCTTTCCATAACCACGTCCCCACCTCTGGTTTTGCAGTTGCAATTGGGCACTGAGACATTCAGAATTATCACACGGCCTTGCACTGAGCAAAATGACCTGGTTGGTTTGCTCCTGCTTTGCATGGAAAGCCATGTGGAGGAGAGGAGCTGCTCCCCAGCAAACAATTCATGACTGCCTCAGCAATAGCTCAGTTAGCCCTGGCTATTCCCCCCAGCCTGTATGCTGTTCCAGGTCAAAGAGAATTAATGGTAGGAATTAAGCAGTTGGTTCTAATAGAACTTGATTTAAAGGCTGCTGTCGACTGGCCTCCAGAGCTGCTGGGTTGGACACTCTGCACTTTGAAGAATTGACTCGGGTAGTTTTCAGTCTTTGGTTGAGTTTTATTCAGTGTTTATTATATTCTTTTTAATTTTTAGAAGTTAGAGGGTATTTAATTCGCCACCATTTTAAGGTGGGTTGAGTAATTTGTATTCAAATCCATAGAGCTGCATGCAGCACTGGCAATATTTGGTTTCGTTTCTAATTTGCAAGAGGAGATGGAGGAACATCCCAAGACCTGGAGGGCATTTGCTTCTAATATTTAGAAGTATTTGCGCACCAGGATGATGAAACACAGCCAGTTTGCTGTTTGCTTTCCTGTACTCTGTAAATTACTGCTGAAAAGTGACTATTTATGTGTGATTTGTTCTGTTCTTGTGTGTACGGAGATGGAAGGGCATCCCCATGGGAAGCATTCCCGATGCAGTGCTGTTGGCTCAGGGCACTGCTGGATCCTCACTGGAGGTGGGCACAGCCCCAGCTTCTGTCACTGTATGAGATGCTCCATCAGTTTGCATGGAAAGAAAGATATTATTGTTGCTAATAAAGACCTTGTGGCAAACAAAGGCTCTCTTCTGTTCTTTCAAGCTGTTAACGTGGCTGTACAGCATCACCAGTGCATGGAGGAAATGGGGAATGGGTGCAATGCAGGGAGGACCTCCAAGGACTCAATGCATGCATTAATGACCAGAGAAGCAAGAAAACACAGGGGACTCACATTCAAATGCAAGTTTCTAATGAAATATTCACTGTAACAAAGCCCCTGCCAGTCATCCCTTTGCTGTTGTGTTATGGCAGAGAAACTCTGCCCCATGCAGTCCATGGGAGGGATGCAGTCAGAGGGCAGAGTATGGATGGGGTGGGGTTGGACCTGAACATCCTACAGCCTTTTCCACCCTCACTGATCCTATGGCTTCACCTTTGCTCTCCATCAGGACGAGGCCTTGATCTCATATCAGACAGGAGGTACCAACCAGCCAATATCCCCCTCTGCAGTTTCACCCCTTCTACACGACTTTTGTCCCCTGGGCACACAGAACCCAAAGCAGCAGTTCCAGGTAGAAGCCCAAGGAGCTCACAGCACCTGCCCCTGCCTAGGGAAAAGGCTGAGTCAGCTTGGCGGTGAGTTTTTCAGTAAAGCTCAGTCACTCTGCTGAGCTAACCACAGGAAGGAAGAGGATGGGATGCCTCGTACTGTACAGAGCAGGAAGGTTTCCAGTTACCTGAGGCTGCTGGAGCAGCTCGGTGCAGGACACAGAGCACAGCTGTGCTCTGCAAGGAGACACCCATGGGTTGGGGCTGCATGCAGACTGCGTGTGCGTGCTGTTTGTCACCAAAACACGGGGATGTCTGCCACACGACACATGCACACACACCTGTGACTAAAGGCTTGTCTCATCCCCAAGGAGTTTTCAGAAGGAGGTTCTGGAAATCCCTGCAGATGTTGCCTGGGCAACCAAAGCCAGAATCCCTCACTGATGATGACAAGGCCAGCAGAGGAGCTCATGCTGTGAGTCACTTCTGGCCGTGCCCTCGGGCCATCCCTATCCACAGCAGTCCCTCCCACGCCTGGACAAAAAAGGAGGATGAATAGAAAGCAGCATGCAGTGTGACACAGCAGGACCATCCCAAGTCACAGCTGTGACTCACGCCCACCTCAAAGCAGAACGTGGCACATGCACCAATTCAGGCTGCATCCTGCCCCTACGTGTGCTGCACGCATCAGGACAGGTGGCAGCCCACTGGGTGCCCCAACATCCACCAGCACACACCTCAAACATCAGCCTTTATGGAGAAAGACAACAAAATGAGTGTTCTATATAGCAGGGGTTTGGCATTGCAGCTGCTCGTGCACCCCAAGATGTGCTGCGCCGTATTCTGGCTGCTGTGCTGCATTCATTATCCCACACCACGTAGTGCTGATGTAGTTCCTGCCAATCTCAGTCAGTCTGGGTGTTACAGTAACAGCGTGGGACTGTCACATCTCTCACAGGCGGTGGTTTTCTGCTTCTTTGGTTTGTTGGTTTTATTTCTTATCCCACGGAAGCAAATGGTTCCCTCACTGGGTATCTCTTTCTTTCTTTTTTTTTTTTTTTTTTTTTTTTTTCTGAGAGCAAAACCCCACTGCCTGAGGGCTCCTTGAGCCCCTTCACCACTGCATGAGCTCCTCTGGACCAGGCATCAGTGCTGCTGCAAAGATTGCAGCCTGGTATTGATTGCATGCTGATAAACCATATAGGAGTTAAAACAATAGAAATAACCATTAAGCCCAACGGGAAAAGAATTGGAGGAGGATGTTCATCACAGCCTCAGCTCCCGCAGGGTGAAGAAATGCAGGACATCAGGAACCAGCCAGAACACAAACCCAGCAGAGCAGTTAACCTGAGCTGCCACAATGCAGCCATTGCTGCATGGAAACCCACCCAGCTCCCACTGCGACCCACCAACAGGGCTTCCTTCCAACAGCAAAGACAAGAACACGCTCCTAAGCTTTATTTCCCTCCCTAAGAGCCCAGCAACACAGCCCATGCTTCAAGCACAGCGCACACTCTGAGGCACGGAAGCAGGGATAGGGACAACCAGCAAAGTCCAAGCTTGCACAACCCCAGTGTCAGATGATTTAATGGTGAAACAGGCAAGCTGTGCGGGTGAATCACTGCTGTGGGCACCAGCAGTTCTATGAGGTGCTGCCATGAGGGCGGCCGCTCCATCCTTCCCTTCTCCATCAGAAAGACACCTGGATTCTGGGAGAGCACAGAGCACAAAGAGAGGGAGAGCATCCATGCAGTGTTTGCACAGGTGAAACGGTTGTGTCAATCACCCACGTGAGCACACAAACTCCAGAGGACTTTGGGATACCCAAGCGTTAGCTTTTCCATCCTCCATAAGCAAATGTCACTTCAAACGGGGAACACACCAAGGGTGGAAATGCATTGGAGTGCCCATGACTGGAGCAGAAAATCCTTCTGGTTTTTTTTTCCATGTTATCCTCTTTGGAACCTTTCCTGAAAGCCACTCACCTTCTGCTAACAGGGAGGAAGGGTGCCTTTGGGCACTGGCACCATTTCAAATGGGCCACACAGAATGGGGACCCAAATTTCAGTGCCATGAGGGCACCGAAGCGCCAAAAAGACAAAATCAAAACTGCAAAAGCTTTCAGAACTCTCCCGATTTCAGTTGTGGTTACAGTTAGCACTTGTTATTTAATGGGTTTTTTTAACATTTCGGGCCATGCTAATGCCTCTCTGTGCCCTAGATTTTAGCCCCATGTGACTGAAATCGGTGCTTTGCAGGTTCCTATCACCAACTCCTTTCTTTCTGAAGAGCATAGCGAGACGCAAGGCAAATGGAAAAAAAAAAAAAAAGAAAGGGCTCAACATAGATCAAAACATCCCTACAAAAGTACTGCTAAAGCCCTCTACCTGCCCATTCCCACCCTGCTGCACTGCCTTTAATGGTTACTGACAATGCTGTAGAGTTACAGAGCAGAGCTGAGCATTCTGTCTCCTTTTCCAGCACAGATCCACACCCAGGAAAGCAGCCCTACTGCAGAAACCAAGCTCAGCAGAAGGAGCATCACGAGCAAAACCAATGGATATGAGGGGCTAGGGGATGTGCAAAGCGATTCCTCCCTGCAGCTGCTACCCCCAGGGCTGGGCGATGGGATGTGCAGAGCACCAGGGTTGGACAGTGGGATGTGAAAAGCAAAGGAATTCCTCTCATTGCTCCCACAGCAGCTCAGGGCCCTGCGGGGGGCAGTGGTTCTCATCAAGCCTCCCGTTTTCAGCGAAGCTCCTTCCCATGCGAGTGTGTTGGGCTGCACTACCGAGCCCTGTGCGTCTCCTCGACACGGCAGATGGTTTCATGATGACTAACGGCCACTTACCCTCAGCTCGGGGACCCAACAGGAACAGCCGCCGTTTACTTTCCTCTTTGTTCACTCAATCACTCCATCCTGATGTATCCTGAGGGCTCGGCTCCTGGTGCTGGAACTGAACCCTGGGGGTTTGCAGGACTGAGATGTGTGATCCCTGCAATGTTTTTTCATCCTATGCCATCTATTAGTTTGTGAAAGGGGCTGAGCACAGCTCTACCAAAGACTCACCCCATTGTACAGTGATATGGAAGGAGGAAGGGAAATCACTGCCTTAGCCACACCAGCTCCTTGGATGCTCAATCCAAGTGCTGGGCTTTCTGATTAAAGAGATGAAGATCTCCATTGGATAAGGATGGAAATGCAACGACACACACCAGCCAGCTCTCACCTCACATCTCTGTTTTCTGTGCTCCTGTCTCTTGCAGAGTCTCTCCACCATTTCATCAC